AGATGGCACCGAGGTCAAGCAAAGGGAAATCGAGCAACAGAGGAAAAGGAGAGAAGAATAAGAAGAGAGACAAAGACAAAGAAGAGAAAGTAATGGCACCGAGTTTGGTAGAGATCAAAGTCAAAACTCCTTACGAAACACAAGTGATACTCAGAGGAGTTTCTACTGACAAAATCATCGATGTGAAAAGGCTTTTAGCATCTCACGTCGAGACTTGTCATTTCACCAACTATTCTCTCTCGCATCAGGTAATTTTCATAATTTCAATTTCCATTGTAATAATCTCTTCTCTTCCAATGGATTTATATTGGTTTTGGTTTAATTTTGCAGGTGAAAGGGAATAAATTGAGTGATAACATCCAAGTGATTTCACTCAAGCCTTGTTCCCTCCGTATGATTCCAGGTTTCGTAGAAATTTTCGTTAGTGTCACACTCTCACACTAATCATTGTTTATGTAATCGGTGCCCTTAGAGTTTGTGTTATTTACCATTGTGCCACAGAGGATTACGTAGAGGAAAGCCAGGCTTTGACTCAGGTACGGAGAGTCATAGATATCGTTGCATGCACCACCAGGTTCGCCTCCGGTTCCAAATCCTCCGTCAAATCCGTCGCCGGAAATGGAAATCAGTCGGCGGCGGGACTCGACATGGTCGCTATCCACCCAATTCCCAAACTCTCTCAATTCTACGACTTCTTCTCCATTCCTAACGTCTCTCCTCCGATTCTCAGTAAGTTTACTCGATTCCGATTTGCGAAATTTGGTTCTCTCTCTTGTAGCTTTTCCTTTGTCTTATACAGCTGCGTTTTCCCTGCAGATTTGAAGAAAGTCGATGGTGAACAGAGGCGTGAAGGCGAGTATTTTGGAATTGAGGTTAAGATCTGTAATGGGAAGATTATTCATGTGGTTGCTTCAGTGAAAGGGTTCTTCACCGTTGGAAAACAGATCTCACATAGCCATTCCATTGTTGATTTGCTCCAGAATGTCAGCAATGCCTTTTCCAAGGCATATGAATCCTTAATGGAAGCTTTCACTGACCGGAATAAGGTGATTTTTTCCAAAGCTTCCATTGTCTATGTGATTTTGTTTCGAGCACTACAGTTTTGAAATGTGGCTTCTTTGGTTTACAGTTTGGCAACCTCCCGTATGGATTTCGTGCAAACACATGGCTTGTACCTCCTTCTGTTTCTGAGTCTTCTTCAACCTTTTCTGCTTTACCAGCAGAAGATGAAAATTGGGGTGGGAATGGTGGAGGTGAGGGTAGAAATGGCGAATGTGATCTACGACCTTGGGCTGCAGAGTTTTCTGTATTAGCTACGCTTCCTTGCAAAACTGAGGAGGAGAGGGTTATTAGAGATAAGAAAGCTTTTTTGCTTCATAACCAGTTTATCGATGTCTCTGTTCGAAGAGCTGTTAGAGCCATCTGCGAGGTGATTAATACTAATCAATACTATAGTGGTATTAGTGACTTCCCTGCAGGCTCGATCCTTCTTGAGGAACGTGTTGGGGATTTGTCTATAGTTGTCAAACGTGATATAGCCAGCCTTGACGCAAAGCCTGAACCTACATTTCAAAACGAAGCATTTCCTCTATCGCCCAAGGAACTTGGTGAAAGGAATCTGCTAAAAGGGATAACAGCTGATGAGAGTGTCATTGTTCAGGTAAGTGGTTTCTCGTCCTTTCCTTAGCTATCGACATGCAAGTGGTACAGGCCTTTGAACTAATTATGGTTTACGCCCTCTTTTAGCTCCATTGCCATGAATTAACTGATTTCAAAGGCAGGACCAAAAGTGAAAATGTGATTTCTTTGTTCTTGCATTCACCACCAAGAGTTTGTTTCTGTCAATCAGCATTTTGCTATGATGACTGTTTGTACACTATAAGGTTCTCGTTAATATCACTTTCATATCAAATAGCAGTTTTCGTAGATGAATGATAGAGTGGAGTTGTAACCATACTCGATACATTTACTTTTCATGCATGTATGTTTTCTTCTAAAGATTATACTAATGAAGAAATACACTTCCAGGATACTCTGGCTTTAGGCACAGTTAGTGTTAGGCACTGTGGATATACAGCGATGGTAAAAGTCAAGGGTAAAATTAAGAAGGAAACGACTGATTTCTGTGATATTGTGATCGATGACCTGCCAGATGGAGGAGCTAATGCTCTTAACCTTAACAGGTCTGTGCTCCCAAGTAGATTTCAAAGAATATGTTTATTTTTGCACATAGTACATGCTCGTATAAAAAATTCTATTTTGTTGTGCCCCTCGCTTGCTTGCATTTCTTTTTGAGTATCATTTTTCAATGAATATATCAAAAAATTATTCCCGACTGTATCTATAAATAGTGATGTTGTGTAAAAATAGGAATAGAGTGACTGTTGACAAAGGTAACAAGCTTTCTCACAATTTATTCTCATCCCTTGCGAAAAGACAATTAAATATTTCAGCATCTAACTTGTTGTTTTCCACCTTGGTTGATAACTTTTTTGCAGCTTAAGGGTTCAGCTTCCCAGGCCCGCTGACGTTAAAAGTTCAGGAGGGAACCAGCCTTCACAGTTTGATTTGGATGATTTAGAGTCTTTTAGAGGTATTGTAGAGGAGTTAGTAAAAATGAACTTAACAAAGTTGGAAGAAAAAAGTGATTCTTCTGAAAGGCCCATCAGATGGGAGCTCGGTGCTTGCTGGGTTCAGCATCTACTAAAGAATGAAACAGTAATGAAAAACGTCTGTGGAAAGCCTGCAACTAATGATGAGAGTGAAATTAAAGGTTTGGGAAAACAATTTAAAGTTCTGAAGAGCAAAAGTAAGGAATCAGAAAATGTAAGCAAGGAAAGGGAAGAAGATATCAGACTAAGTGAGTTAGATGGGGAGGCTCATCTAGTAAAGAAAAGCATTGATGAACACTTTGAGACTGACCTGAAGGAACTGCTTTCTGATGAAGCTTTCTCTCGCCTACAAGAAAGTGGAACTGGTCTCCATTTGAAGGTTACCTTGTCTTCTACTTTGCACTTTTAACTACAAGAGCATATGTTCGTCATGATATCTGTTTTCTCCTTTTTGTTTTGTTTTATATGATTATTTTTTTATTACCTGATGGAGACGGTGGTGCTTTTTTTTTTGTGATACAGTCAAAAGAAGAGCTTACCAAGATGGTATATGAATTTTATGACGAAATTGCTTTGCCAAGACTGGTATGTGTTAAGTAGATAACGAATATGAATTTCTGAAATTATCTACAACCATAATATATCAAGGAATTATTGTAATTGTTTATTAGGTAGCAGATTTTGAGTCACTGGAGCTTTCTCCAGTTGATGGTCGCACAATGACCGACTTCATGCATATACGAGGGCTCCAAATGCATTCTCTAGGACGTGTGGTAAGAATCCTTTACCTCGTTAGTAGTGCCTTTTCCTGTTGCCAAGTTATTTTGATTTTTGAAAGAATAAAGCTAGTTTGTTGATCTAAAGGGACTTTGTTGAGCTCAGAAGTAGCGTATGGTAGAAAGTTGTTAATGAGTATTCTTGTCCACTGTGCCTATGAATCAGGCTAAACTTGCTGAGAACCTTCCTCATATACAGTCCCTCTGTATTCATGAGATGATTACGAGAGCTTTCAAGCACCTTCTTAGGGCGGTTATTGCATCTGTCAATAATATGGCAGAGCTACCTGGGGCAATAGCTGCTTCATTAAATTTCATGCTTGGCTGCCGTGAGTTGGAAGGGAATGATAAGGTCCTCAGTGAAGAGTATTGTCTCAGATTACAGTGGCTACAGAAATTTCTCTTCAGAAAATTTGGTTGGATACAGAAAGATGAGTTCAAGCATTTGATAAAAACTTCCATTCTCCGAGGACTTTGCCAGAAGGTATAGTAGCTCTGTGTTAATGTACTGCTTGTATAAGAATCACAGTTTTCTAATCATGCTTTGACAGGCTGGGTTAGAACTAGTTCCAAGAGATTATGACTTCGATTCTCCGAATCCCTTCAAGAGCTCTGACATTTTTGGATTGGTACCTGTGTGCAAGGTTGGTCACACACACTCTTTCTCTCTCCATGGTCTAATATTAGTTTTGACTAAAAGCGATTAGATCACAGTCTGTCATTTCTCTACGGTTGCTTGGATTTTGGTCCATAGAAACATGGTTTAAAGGCTGGAAAATAATCTTTAAGAATATATGTTTGATTGAACAGTATGTGCTATGTGTTTCATCTGATGGAAGGGCACTCTTGGAGTCATCAAAACTTGCTCTTGACAAAGGACAACTAGATGATGCTGTGAACTATGGAACAAAGGTGCCAATTCGTTTGATAGTCTTGTGATATTCATGCTTTAACCAACTGAATTGTTATCCAAGAGATGTTGACTTTTTTTTATTTTCTAGGCGTTAGGCAAGATGATTGCTGTCTGTGGGCCTTATCATAAAAATACTGCTTCTGCATACAGCCTTCTCGCAGTTGTCCTGTACCACACTGGCGATTTTAACCAGGTATCATAATTTCGCATCTTCTTCCCAAATGGCACCTTTGATTATCAGGTCAAGTAACAAATAGAGAGTTTGTATAGTTTGATATTTTCTTTCTAGGCACTGTATATAACCTTTTCCGGTTCCATATCTAATTATTAACAACAACAAAAAATGGAGAGAAAAAATCATTTTGGCTCTGTTATCTCTGATCTTTTTATTCCCTCTTGGTCAGGCAACTATATATCAGCAGAAGGCTCTAGATATAAATGAGAGAGAACTTGGTCTTGACAATCCTGACACTATGAAGAGCTATGGAGATCTTTCTGTATTTTATTATCGCCTTGAGCACGCTGAATTGGCGCTAAGGTAAGTGATGCATAAATGCTCTCTTATAATAGACATTAAAGATGGAACCTTACGACTTTGCTTTTCAAACACCTTTTTCCTGCTGACTCCTTTTAAATGTTATCTTCCATCTTTCTAAACCTTTTTATATGTCATCTGTTTACAGATATGTGCACCGTGCTTTAATTCTTCTTCATTTCACTTGTGGGCTATCTCACCCAAATACTGCTGCCACATATATCAATGTGGCTATGATGGAAGAAAAAGTAGGGAATGTTAATGTAGCTCTAAGATACCTGCATGAAGCTCTAAACTGCAATAAAAGATTACTAGGAGCTGACCATATTCAGGTTGCTCCCTTTATCTATCTTCTCCCAGTCTGCGCCCATTCTTAAACTTATCATTGCTTTCGTGTTTTACTTTGCCAGACAGCGGCAAGCTACCATGCAATAGCTATGGCTCTCTCTCTCATGGATGCGTATTCCTTGAGTGTGCAACATGAACAAACTACAGTTCAGATACTTACAGCAAAACTTGGACCAAATGACGTTCGCACACAGGTGATTGATTCACTCCTAATTTTTTGTTACATTGAGGATTAGGAATCATGCAATCTCAGCTCAATATTCTATTTTTACTAGATGACCTTCGTACACAAGTGAATGTTTTTTGAGCTCTTAGACATACATGTTTTGCTGTTATCCTTTTGTCTCGTACAGGACGCTGCAGCATGGCTTGAATATTTTGAAGCAAAAGCGATGGAGCAGCAGGAAGCAGCCCGAGATGGAAACCCAAGACCTGATGCTTCCATCGCGAGCAAAGGCCACCTTAGGTACAAAAATGGAAACTCCCAGAACACATAAAAAAAGGATATGGTAATTATATCATTGGCACCAAAGTCCGACCTTTCTTGCAGTGTATCAGATCTCCTGGACTATATAAGTTCTGATCCAGACACTAAAGGAAGTGTTGTTCATAGGAAACAGCGCCGTGCAACGGTATAATGCCTTAACTTATGATCCTTGTTTTTTTTCTTGCCCTAAGGTCACTCAATTGTTTAGAACTCTTTTTGAAGAGGTTTAACTCAATCTAATGTTGCTTGGTATGTTAGATGTATGTCTAAACTTGGATTATAGATCTAAATGAATTCCATGCGCTAGAAGTTCTGTACTTTTGTTTTCATTATATAGGTAGATAGTTTAAATAACTATACCAAATAACAAAAAACTATCTACGTATATAATGAAAACACAAGTTAAGACTTGAGATAGAGAAAATTATAGGTAACCATTTGGTATAAATGACATGCAAACGAAAATAAATTAGTAAAATAGATAGGAAAAAATCATGAAATATATTTGGATGGACTTTTTGATGAACTATTTTCCAATAAAAACGTTATGGTAAAAACTATTCAAAATTATCGTTGCTCTATCCATGTTAGAATATCATTTAAATTAGAGATATTTCAACACTACCATAAAGGATATAAATCTTTTTACTCATAATTAATCAGTTCTAGTTGAAAGCTTATAGTTTCACGTAGGGTGTCGCTCGGCCCAGCTCAGTTCATGATGAATTAGAGTATTTCACGGTCCATATAAATATTTTTACTCATAATTAATCAGGTTTTAGTTGAAAGCGTATAGTTTCAGGTAGGGGTGTCAAACTGAGTTAGTTCGCTCGGTCCAACTCATTTTATGATGAGCTAGAATATTTCACGGCCCAACTCGGCTCAGCTCATTTATTATACGAGCTTAAAAATATAAATTCAAACTCAGATCATCTAGATCGTGATCTAAATGGGCCAGCTCGCGAATTAATACGAAA